TTGCCTCTCGGCCGTCCCGGTAACACCGCCGAGCCCCGTCGGAGTCTTTGCGCGGTCCCGAGCGCCGGGACCGGTGCGGGGCAGCCAGCAGCTCGGCCCTGCCCCTCGGGGGAAGCTCGGGCTGGGTGCTTTCCTTCTCGGATAACGACTTTTTCTTTCTTCTTCCGATAACGACTTGTTCTTTCATCCTCCAGTAACTTTTTTCTTTCTTCTTTGGATAACTTTCCTCCTTTCTTTCAGGATGTGTAATGTTGCAGATGTCATTTTAGACCCCTCAGTGATTCTTTATCGGTCTATCCCCGTTACAGCAAAAGGAAAAAAAATCCTCAGATCTTGAACGGTTAAACATTTTGTGGAAGGAATTGTCGTTTTCATGAATTTATAGAAAAAGAAAGAAAATTGGTTCAGTGGCATAGGAGTGTCCCTGTGGAGTGGGCACCAACTTACTCTTGACTGGAACCCCCAGTAAGTCTTGAAAGTTTTCTTGACAAAAGTAATCACTTATTTACTCATAAACCTCCCGAGATAAGGAATATCCAACAAAGTGCATGTAGACCTCTCGTGCTAGATGGACAATATGTTACGGATCGAGTAGTTTGAGTCTTCATTGGTAGGTGGAAAACTAACCCAACGCTAACAGCTGTTCCCACTGTTTTTACACTTTATTTGGAGTTAGGAAGGATGAAAGGATGACAGACCTTTCAGCTGGCTTCCGTCTCTCAGGCTGGTGACGTTGATTGAACTGCAGCTTCCATTTAAATGGATTGCTGAAGGCAGGGTCATGAAATGCTTTCTAAAAAACCCCAAGACTTAAATACTGCAATTTGATACATTATCTGGCAGGGATCCAGGTCAGTATGTATGAAATGGGGTATACTGTTTATTGTCTAATCAGGTACAGAATCCAACAGACAAATTCTGAGCTGATGTCTATTTGTAAAATCTCAATAGCAAAAGAATTACAGTGATTTACGTACCAATACAGTGAGTCTTGTTCATCATCTCTACATGATCTGAAACTCAAGGAACTACCCGGTTGTGCTGATAGCCCGGAGGCAGAAGTTTGCTCAGAGTCAGTAAGTCGGTGCAGCCCTGGTGTCAGTCAGCGCACGCATCTCTGCAGAGAGAAGCCTGTTACTGCCTGTGCGATCACCAGAGGCACAGGGGAAGATGTGATTGCGGTCTGTGCTGGTGCCCGAGATCTTTGGGAGATGCAAGGAATTAGTATGCCAGGGTTTCCAGATGAAGTCAAGTTACGCTGAGATAAACCCAGCGTAGCTGACCACAGCACACGGCTCACTGGTCCCTTTCTGATGCAGAGAGCAATTTACACCAAGCTACTTTTCAAACATCAGCTGAATTTTGAACATTGATTAATGACGTGCCAAAGAGATCCAGCAACACAAAACCAGACAGAAAAGCTCTTGGATGTGAGGCGTGTTGTTTTCCTTGCAGGAGGGAGCTCAGGAGGGATGTGCAACCAGGGCTGCCACCCTGTCTGCTGTGAGCATCCCCCCACACCATCAATGCTCCTATTGAGCCGAGAGCGAGTTGGGTGGCAGAGCTTGGCTCTGCAGCAAAACTTGTATATCTTAATTAACTTTTTTTTTTTTTTGAATCAGCTCAAGTCTGGGAGAGGAATTGAGAAGTATATAAGGAACATTAACATTTGAAGATGAAAACCTAGGAGCGCTCTCCCCAAACCCACCCAGCTTTATGGGCATTACGTGATGCTGGGGAGCTTCACGGACATAGGCACGGCAGGTAGCTGGGGCTGTACAGTAAATCCTGCTCTTCTCTGCCCCTTCCCGAAGGGCAGCCCCTGCCCCAGCAGCTCCCAGCTGCTGCCTGCCAAGTGGAAGGCTTCAGCCGAAGGGGAACAATAGGCAGTTTTATCCCCGAGTCAGCGTGGCTGGCTGGGAACGGCATGGCAGAGGTGATGAACTCCAACGAGGAGAGGGGAGAGTGTTGACAAATTCATTTTAAGCCAGACTGGGCAAAGGACCAGAACGCGCACCGCGGGGAGCTGCTACTACAGCCTGCCTGTGGGAATCATTGATAACGTGGTCCTGGGGGGGGGGAGGGATTTTTCCGCACTGAGGAAAAACTGGGAAGAAGTTTTCCCCCATAAGTCAGGGAGGGAGCAGCAGCCCCGCGGAGCTGCAGTCCTGGGCAGGGAGGAGGGAGCAAGGCAGCGCCAGGTTCGATGCTGTCCTGAAGGCGCAAGGGTTTTCTTGGCAGGCTGCTCCTGGGGATACGGGGGAAGTGATCAAACAAGTCCTTCAGTAGCCAGGCTTGTCAAGATGAATATTAGAGGGATTGTCCACTGCCGTCAGCCAGACGCTGAAATCGAGGCAAGGCTTGGAATTTCGGTGTAATTGGAACCATATTTCGGCGCGGCGGGGCCAGGGTAGCCGAGGTGGGGTGAGTCAGAGAGCACAGACGTCTCTCTAAGCGATGATTTGGCGTGGAAATTACTGAGCCTGGGCCAGTATGCACCAGCTGAAAGTTTGGCTTTCTGATTTCTAACTTCTTTTCAGTAGATTCTTTCTCCTTGTCCCATGCCTTCTATATAGAAAGGGAATTAAATGCATTCATGCAGAAACAAACTACCATTACTGGATATGGCAGTAACAAGGGAAATGGGGAGCCTAATTCCCCCAGGTCCCATGGGCCCTCACTTTGCCCTCGGGGCAGGACGAAGATGCCAGGGCCACGCAGGGTCAGGTCCTGCCTCTGCAAGGTCCTGTGGCAGCCACACCAACAAAGGCTCATTGAAGGCAAGCCAGGCTCCCGCTGAGACTGGCGCTGGCGTTAGCCAGCATATAGGAGACCCTCATGTTAATTCATGCTAATGATGGGCGAGCTTGCCCATTTTGGAGAGAGCCAAATTTGGGATGCCGGTGAAAAGCAAGCACGGCTGCAGGACGACTTGGTGGTTGGGCTGCAAACTCAGCTTTTGTTAATTTTGGTAGGCAAGCGGGCAGTGTCTCGGTCAAACCCAGCGTGAAACAGGCTACTGTCTGTTTGCCTAAACACATCAACAAGACCTTCACAACAGCATCTCCAGGCCCCGTCTGGAGTTTCATTTGTGCAAATGAAAACTCTGCCTTGGACGGTGCAGAGCACTTCTGATGGGCTAAAGTGATGATTTATGTATTTTGCTTAATTATTTGTTTTCCCTCCATCTGCCTGGCAGCCGAGGCTGCGCATACTTTTGGTGCCACTGCCGCAACTGGGGCATGGTGTTTGCGTTGGGAATCCAGCCTCAGTTGGCCTGAGCATCCTCAGCTTGCTTGGGCGTTTGCTACATCTCTGGCTCAAGCCCAGAGGCAGTCGGTGGCCTCGCAGCCCAGATCCATAAATCATATCTCATGCACTGACCGTGCGTTGCCCACATCCGTGGTCAGGGCTGCTGGCCACAAACCACAGAGATGGCAAGCCAGGCTGAGCGGGGAAATGCTGTGCTGGCCAAACCAGCAGCAAGTAAACTCCCAACTCCTGTTTGACCACATCTTTGCTCGCCATGATACCACTTCTTAGAAAGCTGAAAGGCTGCAGTCAGCTCCCGGTCACACGTGTAATGGCAACCGTCTGCTTTTCTGGTTGAGAAGGAGCTCTCGGTACCTTATGGGCTGATACGGCCACTCTGAATTTGTGCTGTCATACCTGGCGTGTTGAAACCAGAGCGGGCAGTGGCACTGCTCATCTTCCCCATCAGTAGCTCAGCATCCATGTCCAGAATCAGCTGAGTCTATCATACAGCGAAAGTACCTGTTCTGGTTTTGGTGTCAGTCAGCCCATAGGCTGATAAATATCTGTCCTTCTTTGTGTCCTAAACAATAAAATAATGGGTTTTTTTGGGAAGGATTTGAATTATTGCATAACTCTCTCAGGTTTTAGCTGGGATCCCAAATTGGAGGTAGCTGTTCACCATGGAAATACTGACCAAAGTATTATTTTTAACTTAATTTCTTTATATTTTGGTGAGAGGTGGAACATGGAAAAAAGTCAAGATTTTGCACTCAGTGAAGAAAAAGATACCCTGGCAGAGTGAAGAGAGATCTCTTTCACTGCCTCCTCCACTTCATGATCGTCATCGTGCACTCAGATGGAGCAAGTTGACTTGCAGCTCTCAAAGCTTCCTCCCTTGCAACCCCAGCAGGGCCTTTCTGGTGCTGTCAGGTGGGGTCTGGCTCCACGCTGGGGGTCAGCACCTAAATGAAGGAGGCTTACCGGACCCTCTTCTGCTTTGTCGTTACCCGTAGTCCCAACGTGTGTGCGGTGCAGAAGCTGATCGGCACGAACAGGAAATACTTCACCAACTGCAAGCAGTGGTACCAGAGGAAGATCTGCGGGAAGTCAACGTAAGTACCCAAGTGCTGGCCAGGGTCTCCCCGAAGACCCCGTTGTGGAGGTGGGTGCTGGGTGGGAGAAGCAGACGGTGTGACAGACACGGGATGTCAGAGCCCACGGTGTGGGCTTAACGTGTATACGTGTTAGGAATTGTTTCAGCCTTTTACTCCCTAAGAAATATTTGTGTTTTTCTCACTTGACAAACATGATCCTAAAACACTTAGATGTTAAGAATAGAAAGTACCATGTAAATACAAACCCTGATGATTTATTCTAATTGCATTTCTATATATACTTATAGAGCTCTCAGTGCTGTAATGAAGTGTGTACCAGATGTTTTCTAGTACTTAGCTGTGTCTCTCTCCATGCTAGGCTCAATGCTGCCTAGCTTAAAAAAAAAAAAAAAAAAAAAAAAAAAAAAAAGAAAAA